ATCTCCATTGATAAAAAATAATCATTTTACTTCCAAATGAATTCTACATGTTGTGCCTCAATATTTATAGACAAAAAAAATGACTAATAATTCCTAAAAATACTCCCATCAATCCATAACTCAGATAATGGGGGCATAATTACTTGAAAAATAAATAAATAAATATTAAATTAATCTCCAAGTACTATAAGCCACTGCTCCTAAACTTAAGGGCCACTCAACAAAACAAATAATGACCTAAATAATATATTAAATAGAAACTATCTAAAATAACTTAAAATAAATATTTATTCTTAATATTTCTTTAACTTCCCAAATTATCCATTATCCCACCATAATTGGTATTTTATCTGAGTCTTAATTTTATCGTACGCAAAAGACCATGATGACCTTGGAAAAGTTGTCTCTGTCTCTTCAACCAGGTGTTTTGCAACAGAACCCAATAAAAAAAAAAAATCCAAGGAGATAAAGAAATGACGTTTGCCACATTCCAGACCTCTTTCTATACCAAACAATGTCATCCACAGTCAAAATGAAACAATACAAGGAAGCATATAATTTAATCCCTACAGCACTGACCACTAGCTCATAAATTTTTTCCTCAGATTTGCGGCAATTAAAATCTCATCTTTCATTATCATAAAAGGTTGATGAGAGGGAGGAAGAAAATGGCGTCCAGATTAGAGCAATAATATTTCACATAGAAGTTTAGGGAAAATCATCAGATTCCTCCAAACAGAGAATTCAAACAAATTTCTGAGACAATAATCTCTCTCACCAAGGAAGCTGCTAATGACTGAGAAGTTCCAATAAACCTCACTTGAAGAGATTGCTCCATCTCAGAATGTAAGAGAACTGTGAAATTGATATCAATGTGTGCATAGGTACTTCATCATTAACCACAATTTTGATCATATAGAAGAGTTTTTCTGTAATATAAATTTAAATTTAAGAGGAAAATCAAGAAGGACAAGTTATGACAAAAATATATCGCTTCAAGAAATTTTAGCTGAGGTGAAGAAGATACACAGGTCCAAGTAGTGTCATCATGCTTCTGATACCCACATATCTTGAAGCAGCACCAAGAAACCCTGGAAAAATTCAAAGTTCAGATGAGAAAGAATAGGATAAGATTCAAAAATTGAATCCTACTTACTTTTTGCACCAAACCTATGCACGCCAAAGAGATGAAAAAAATATTCCAGCAATAGCATTATGCCCAAGCTATTTCAGAAATGCATATTTAAACATGCTGAACCAGGGACTTGCATATCAAAACTATATCAATATAAAATCCATAATAAGTTGTGTTGTTTGTAAGTTAAACAGTAAAGCATCCTCAGACTTCATGCAAGACACAGGAAACATGTTTAGTTTGGTTGCAAAATGGAAGTATAAGATGAAGATTCGCAGTATCATAACAAAGTGATATGATAGGAAAAGGAAATATACAGAATACGTGTACAAATATCTCAAAATCTAGGCTTTTTTAATGTAATGCAATATAGTAATTATAAGAATATATTAACAGATTCCTTCAATGATCCCTTAGAAGCATTCCTATGAATAAATCATAAAATTTTAAATGAACAAATGACAAGGTCAATGCCTATCACCTGTCTTGCTGCAAGCAAGGCTGCCCTGGATTCTAGATTAACAATGGCCAACTGTCCACCCTGGAAATCATGGAGAATAGAGAGCATGACAATCAAGAGAAACAATTTTTCAGGTTATCAAACCCCAGTCACTACCAATACATACCTTCTTCATTAACTCTTTCTTAATCTGGTAGTTAGCAGCTTCTGAAAGAACTTTCCCAGATAATTTTCTTGCCAACTACAAGATACCATATGGTCATCAAAAGAAACCAAAGACCAGGCACTTTCTACTGGAGACCCATTTAAGATAAAGATCAAACAAGGATATCATTTTCTTACCAATTGATATATTTTTGTGAATGTGAAGATACCACCACCCTAAAGAGGACAAGGAAAAATAAAAGAATTAGAAGAGACATATCACCTTATATTAAATCAAATCATCATGAATAAAAATACAATTCCACCTGAAGTATTTTTATGAACCACTTAAGATACCTTTAAAATCATAGATTGAAACCCTCCTGCACCAACTTTTACAGCTGCAAGAACTTGTGCTTTCCATTGACTGAGTTGTCCACCCTGAACATCAGATGTTGTGCCAAGATCCAATGAAGTTTCTGATTTTTCACTACAGAAGTATGCAAGATTTAGATCATTACTGTACGACTAAAAAAGGAAACAAATGTGCATCCAATGAATCAATATAAACACACGGCTATTACTGTCAGCATAAAATGGAAAGTATAATGCTAGTGCAGAACACCATCTGACCAAATTACCAAACTTGATTTGAATAGTCTCACATCAAGTATCAAAAAGAATTGGCTAATCTTGGCAGCTTTAATTACTAGGCTATCTTAAAGTTAATTTCAAGAAACTCCCATGTCCCTTCATGAAGTTAAATATGTCTCTGTTCTATGCAAGGAACAAAGGAGAAAGGGAAAATAACAATAAAATCTATCAAAATATATAAATGACAATCGCGTCTCGCGTCTCTCAAAATACTATAATTCCTCTGAAGTCCATAGATAGCTTTTTGACATTAATGATTTTAGGCTAAATAACTAAATTTCCCCTTGTTTAAAATAAAAATAATGGGTCTGGCTCCATTTTCTCAATCAAAACTTTTATTTGAGCAATCACAACTTTTGTTCTGTGAATCACAAAAATCAAACAAGAAATCATAACTTTTCACGTGAAGTTTCTTTTACGATTGATAAACAAGTTCTGAAAATAACCAATCCCAATCATAACCTTTGTTTAAACAATTATAACTTTGATTCTATGAATCACAAAAATTAAACAAAAAATCACAACTTTCTACATAAAATTTCTTTTAATATTGAAATTCAAGTTTTGAAAATAACCAATCACAACTTTTGTTTAACCAATCACAACTTCTATTATGTGAATTACCAGAATTCAATAAAAAATCACAACTTTCCACGTGAAGTTTCTTTATCATAAAATCCAAGTTCTAAAATAATTAGTTACAATTTTTGTTTAAGTTGTCACAACTTTTATTCTGTGAATCGCAAGAATTGAATAAGAAATCATAACTCTTCACGTGAACCCTCACCCACCCATTATTTTTTATTTTAAATAAGGGGCAATTTAGTCATTCAACCTAAAATCATTAATGTCAAAAAGTCCTAAGAAGCTTTAGAGAAATTATGACATTTCGAGAGACTAATTGTCACTTATATATTTCAGTGGGATTTTATTGTCATTTTCCCAAGAAAAAAAGGAGAAGAGTGACAGCATTCCACCAAAGATACTCTTTGCATAGCTCATAAATTTACAAGAAAAAATTGTGGGAGAAACATAAACTGAGTGCCATTAATCAAGTGTGTGTGTGTGTGTGTGCGCATGTTCATACATAGATTGGGTAGAAAGAATTGTACCTTGAGTTATCCTGCAACAAGTGCAGGAAAATTTCTACTTCAAGGTCTTCAGTTGACAATTTGTTTGAGCAAGGTACGTTTAATCTTTTCCTCACTTCAAGCAAAACATTTCTATAAGATGGCCTCCAACCCCTGCGAAGAATTAACCAAACTAAACAATTTACCCAGGTCAAGTACTCAACAATATATCCTTTTTTTTTTTTTGGGTGGGGGGGGGGGGAATATCCAACAATAACAAAACTAGGTATTCCTTCATAAGTTGGGCAACGACATAATGCTATATGATTAATTCTTAGCTAAAGATTTGGAAGAGTAGAAGGGGCAAAAAAAATATAACTAGAAAATCATGCAATCAATAACCTTAACGTAGACCTGGCATCAGCTGCAAGAAATAAAAATCGCGACTCAAGTGCAGCTATATAGTCTTCTCGTTCTTGAAGGTCCACTCCAATCATTGCCCGGTCAAATTCAGCTCCACTCGGGATTGATTTTAGCAGAGGACTGAAGTAGCTGATACATGTAAAAAAACAAACATTTATTAGTATGCAGAAACTTAGAACTAAGTAAATTATGACCCGACACATTACTCTACAAGATATCAACAAATTAAAACAGAATTCTCACAATTCCAGAAGATTTCACCCACCTTGGGCCAAAAAGGATTGTTTCAAGCTCAAACAACTCGGAGTCCGTAGCTAGTTCAAGCACTGAGCGGAGCTCCGGATCATATGCGCCTGCAAACTTGACCACTTACCGTAACACCTCAAAATGAAATAAAATCAACCTATAGGAGAGACGACTAAAAAAAAAAAAGAACAGTAGAAAATAAAAAAGCGAGCCACCTTGCCTATCGCTCGAAATTGCAGCCCGAGCACAAATTTTCAACCTCCGGCCATTATTAATACGCGCAGGCAAAACAAAAATCTGAAGAATAACAACCAAAAAAAGAGTTAGTGCGGAATTTCACATTGATTAAATCATACATTTCACGCTTCAGTTTAATTCAATGAACTAAATCCTGAAAAAACAAAAGAGTGCAAATAGGAAATGTTGAAGAGAATAGTGAGAAAGCGAAGAAGCTTACAGGGGAGGAGAGTTTGGAAGTGGAGGTGAGGAAAGAGAGGGAAAGGTTAGAAGGCAGAGAAGTTGGAGAAGTCATCAACTCCGCCGAGGAGCCGAAGCTAACAGTGTAGAACCAACCAATTCTTCCCTTCCCCACAATTCTTGAAATTGAAAATGCAACTGTCGAGTGCCGTCAGCTCCGTGCCTCCTTCGGGAAAAAAAAAAATGAAAAAAATAAATAAAACCTTCGTGGCCTGCTTACGCTCAAATTTTGGGCTGAATTGGGCCACATTAAAACGAAGTTAGATTCCAGATCCGGCCTATAAGTTGACTTGGGCCAACTACCTCAACAGGTTGGCCCAATACAAGATTAGGTAAATCAGGTCCTCAGATCAGAGCTCTCCAATGCTGGTGCATGCCATGCCTTAAGTTGCATGAATCATCCACGTTTCATAATAAAATTAGGTTATAAGAAATATATCAATATTAATATAATTAATATAGATATAATAAAATTAGGCTGACCTATGGCTTTCATTATACATAATTACCTAATTAGGCGGTTGGGATTAAATATATATGCTTTTCATTATTTTTGAATTACATTAGTTAATTAGCTTTTGGTGTAGACAAATGTGCATGAACTAGATTGAGCTCAGTATATATGCACGGAATACAAAATGACTTGCACTATTTAAAATTTTATGAATTGCGTGCAAAGTTTCTGGCCAAAATAACCCTTAATTGCCATCAATAATGATTGTTTAGACAGACATACGTACGTACATATTGTTAAGTAATTGTGTAGGTCTTTGTATGAAATCACAGTACATCATACCTGGATCTTCATCTGTATCATTGGTAGTACCATTTAGTGAGCAACAATATATTTTATTAAAAAAGGACTCTTACAGGATGAAGTGAAAGTTGAACGGCCATCTCAGTACATTTCAAGCTTAGGGAACCCAAGTACCGATTTGGTGTGAATGCTACACCTAGCAAGAAACTTGATCGTCCACAATATACTTTGAAGTTTAATTATTCTATAAATCCTGAGCTAAAACAATTGAAACGCCTCATTTGAAATTGCTAATTAAAAGTTTCTCTACACAGTACAACATAAATATATATTCTGCAATGCAAAAAGCTTCAATCTCTATTCACAGTGCCTAAAAAGGGAAGACACTGGTTATATATATGTATGCATGTATATAAACCCAAACCCAAATACAGTCTTATTTCAGGTGTTCTTGTATCTCAGTTCCTACTCACATTTGATAGATCCATAAATGTGACGAACAAAGAGCAAAGCTGCGAAAAATCCAACAGTTCCAAGCATCAAAAAGAAACCATAGCATATACAAGCCGTGAATCCAAAGAAAAACGAGATCTGCAAGAATCCAGACATATCAGAGCGTGCATAGTAGTAGTACAAACAATAGGCACAAATATATATGCCTGCTGATCCACCATACAGAAATGGTCTGCACAAAAAAAAATACAATGGTCAAACCAAACCAAACCCAATTAACCATTTAAGTAAGAATTTTAACGATCCATGAGTGAAATATGACTAAACCATGCTGGCCGGACCTCAACATAAACAAAAGATTCCCCAAACATCAAAGCAATAATGCAGGTGTTGGAAATATATGTGCGGGCTCACATTAATTATTTTATTGATACGTTAAAACTGGTTAACCGGTGGCTGTTGAAATATTAAAACCCAATTATGCCATGTGATCAAATGCTTGATAGCTTAGACAAGCAATCTATTGAGTCAGGTTAGCGGCTAAAATGTGAGTCATTAACCTTATTAAAGTCCGTAGTGGGTGATCCCCGTAACTATTATTTTAAATGGGCTAAGTCATCTCTCTAACCCTAATTCATTATGTGCTTCCTCACCAAAAACCGCATAACTCTAAAATGGTATAGAGAGGAAGACCTACTTGGACTAGCTTAGTGTAGCTTAGGAACTTTGTCAAAATCAGATGCACAACACTGACTTGTATGTGTGTTTAATATCTTATCACATTGACTAGATCCATGTCTTTTGGCAAAAAAAAAAAGATCCATGTCCAATCTATTAATTAGATTTTACAAAAGGTCAAAAGAAAATGATAATGAACATTCAAATGCATCAGTAAATCAGCAAAGCAACCATTTTTTGAGACGCTTTCTGAGCAGGCAGTCCAGGAAAACATTTACTATACTGATCTAGGCTAGCTTATACGGATAAAATTTCTCTCCCACCAGAGTAACAAATATGCAAAAAACGCATACATGAGTTAAACCAAATAGCAATATTCATTTGGTACAGTAACTTCATACCTCCACCACCACTCATAATCCTCAGCAGCAAGCTGGAAGTATGTCAAAGCCATAGTAGTGATCACAGTGACAATCAAGAGGATGATGAAGACAATGAACAAAATGCTGTAGGAGCTATAGATCCTGTAACCCCAAAGACAGGCAAATGTGTAGTAAAGTTCAGTGCACACAACACAAGATGGCAAAAACCCTGCCATTGCAATATGAGAAATCGCTCTGCGATGCCACGGCAAAGAGGGAATCTCTCTAGGATATTTACTTGTGTGGCAAGGAGCTTGGAATTCTGCTTTGTTCTTCTTCCCAGCAATCCCACCCAACACAAGCAAAGGCAATGTTACAGGAGTCCATATCAGAACCATCACCATAACTTTACCAAATGGAAGGGCAGAAGTAACATTGTAAGCAATTGCAACAATGTTCAGATAGCAAAATGTGAGAAATAGAGGTCCCCAAGAAAGACATCCAGTCAATAGCAGATTACTAACCTGTCAAAAGCAAGGACAAGTATGTAATGTAATGTAATGATCAGTGATTGAATATGAAAACAAAAGCAAGTTCAAAACTCATAAGTGCATACCCATTTTGTTCCCTCTAGCTGACAATAAAATCTGGTTGCAGTATAGCCAGCAAACACTGAAGTTAGTACATATATCATAGCAAGTGCTTTGGCCAGAGCGCCTCGATTGTATGGATAGAATACGCCAAAAAAAGCCAAAATGAATATGAACACTATACTGCACATTATCAACAAGCAAAACTTATCAAGACAGAACAATAAAGAAAATAGACACATAGCTTCAGAACTCGGAGAGAACTTACAGAGCTAACAGTTGGGTGCCAGATCCAAGTGCAGCTGCAAGTAGAGACTTATACTTGGGAAACCTAAATACATCTCCATGAAGACGCTTCCAACCAGTCTCTTCCTCGTCCTTTGCAGATTCCTGATCATGGACATACCTATTTTGAAGACAAACAAGTGTAACATCTACATTTTAGCTCGAGAATAGAAATGCTCTACCTAAAACAGATAATACAGAAACTAGAAAGGTTCTTACTTGATGAAATCATTCTGAAGGACCCGCTTCAAAATGGTTGCAAGAAACCCAGTTAGAAGGAGAATTGGCACACATGAATTTAAGATTGAGAACCAATGGGGCCATGAGGAAGATTCATGGTACTTGTCCATCCTCTTCTCAAAAGGAGTGTCAGTATGCATCCATTCTGTAGTATACAGAAATTCCGCATCTACTTCATTATCATCTGTAAGGTCCACAAAAGAATCATGCTCTGTACGTGCTATGATTTCAATAACACGATCCTCGTTGTAGAAGATGCTAAAGTGAATATGTGTGTACATGTAGTACTTATTGTCACTTGGATCATGTCCTTCCTGACGAACTTCTCCTATGAAACCCCAAATAGGTAAGCCATCATAATGCATTTCAAAGTAGTAATCCTTCTGAACAATGGATCGAAACTTGGCCACTTCTTCCTTCTTGAGTGTTTTTTTGCAGAGTACTTCAGAATTTTTGTTCATTCGGAATTCAAGCCGATAAGGAGCACTGACTAAACGATCTCCAATTAAGACTTCACTGAGAGCTCCCTTTTCTTCCTTCACGCGATCTGCAAATCAAGAAAACAAAGAAAATGATTGCACTCACAGAGATGGATATAAAATGAATAAAAAAAGTGAATGATCAAAGACTGAGAAACCAACCTGGCATGCAGAACGGGAGATCATAATAACCATATGTTTCACTGAAAGGAACGAGCTATTTATTAAAAATAGTTATAATTCGTCATCAGCTGCTGACCAATGATTCAGAAATCAGAAAGAACTGTGTATATGACAGCAAGAGAAATTAGTTGATTACCTGGGATTCTTATATGGCCCAACCTTTGCAACATAAAAGGGCACAATATCTCCTTCTTTGTAACGATGATTTGAAGCATCCGATCTCACGTGGCTGATACGACAAAGAACAACGAAGGTGAAGAACAAAATGGCCACGACCTTCGCCATTGTTCAACTGTGGCTTTGCCTCCCAGAAGAAGCGCCAGAAAGGAGAAAGAAGGGAAGAAATGAAAGAGACCTGAGCAGAGACGAAACCGAATTAAAAGAGGTTCAATGGATCGAGTGGGAGAAGAAGGTTTTAAAATCGTGAATGCAGGAGGAAATGTTGCAGTAACAGGCTACATGGAACTTGGCTTTAGGGTCAAAATTGAGTCCAACCTGAGCGTGCTGATATTGACCATGCTCATCAACGGCACTCACTTTTTGGTCCCCCGAAAAAAAAAAAAAAAGAACAAAAAGAAACGTGACTCACCCTTGGGTCTTGACTTGGCGCATGGAGCGCGCGCGCGCGCTATTTTTCTTACCGAAAAAATTACCAATGTTCTTTTTTCTTTTTTTACCAACGTTTATGAGGAGGAAAAAAAAATGTAGTTTCGTTTCTGTATCTGTTGCTTTTTTATATGAAAATACAAATGAAATGAAACATAGTTGAAAATGTGAAAGATAGTTTTTTAAAAATTAAATACCTCCTCTCTTGAAAAATGGGAAACACAATTAGAAATTCCTATATTTTCATTAAATTTTGTTTTTAGTTTTTGTAATTTTTTTCATAATTTCAGTCTTTATAATTTTACCAAGATTGGGTGACTTTTATTATTTAAGATCTTATAATTTTAGTATTTTTAATGATTTTAATTCCTATAAAGACTAAAAATAAAATTTGATAAAATTATAAAGACTCGTAATTTATATTTTCTCTAAAAAATATAAGGCATTTTTTTGAAATTAAATGTAAAAAATATGAGCCATTTTTAATTTTTAATACATAATTAATAAGTTTTTTAAAATACTTTTAATAAATAAACCAACCAATCTTTCATTTTAAGTGACATGCCTTAGGACTAGGGTTTTGATATGAATTGTGCCCATGTTGTCAAGGATAAAGCCAGTAATTTAAAAGGACTGAATTATTCGGATCGAATTTAAAGTATTATATCTTATCTAAAAAACCTATATAACCAAGTTTGGCTCTAACATTTTCGGGCTTCGGGCTTATCCAGTCCAGTCTGAATACTCAAAACTTTTTAAAAATACTTTTTGAACTAATTTTAATTTTAAATAATCCCATTAAGTATAAAATATTATTTTAACTTTGAAAGAATAAAATAAAAAATAATAACTTATTAACTTTATACTTAAGTAACTCTGTTATTATTTTGTTGTATTATATAATTTATTCATGAATGTTTTCTTTACTTATAAATTAATGTATTAGTTATTTAAATATTGCTCTTATCACGATGATATATAAATCTTTTATATATTTTAATTATGATTAAATTAATCTCAATTTAATTATAATTAGACTACTAACTTAAAATTATTATCTTGATTAATTCAAAATTTTAAATAATTTTTAAATAAACTATACTTTTTATTTTTAAGAATATGAAAAAAATGGTCATCATTGTATTATATAAAACAAAATCATTTAATTATGAGTAAAATATTATTTTTAAATTATTTTTTTATTTTTATATTGTTTAACCTCTATATACAAGCACTTATTCTAATTTATTCTTAATTTTTAACCAAGTATAGTGAAGACGATAACCAAATAATTATTCAATAATATTATTTTATTTATTATGTTTATCCAATAGTAGAGTTAAAAATTTATACATGCCTGAATTTTATTTTTAAAATTAAAATAATTTTATTTTTTCATTAAAATTAATTATTTTATTTTATAAAAAATATTAAATATATTTTTTGAATGAGAAATTAATGTATAGGACTCAAAACTTTTTTAAAAAAATTAGGTTTTAAAATATAAAAATAAATGTTAAAATATATTTTAAATATTATTTGGAAATATTTTATTGAGTAAATTTTAAAATATAAATATTTTTAATTTTTTTAAAAAATAACTATAGTAACATACTCAAATATATGATATTTTAATATCAAATGACATAAAGCTTAAAGAATTTATTAATATTTATTATTTCTATATCTTTTTAAAAATATTTTTTTATTAGGGTATTTGAGCTAAGCCCGAACTTGATTGAAATTAGTCCAAATTTTCTCTGGCCTATTTGAGCCAGTCTCATTAAGCTTGAATATTAAAAAAATTATTTTTTAAATCTCATTCTAATTTTTTTAGGTGAATTTAAGTTTGATTCAAATTATCGACTATAGTCAAGTAATTGGATCCAGCAGATGATGAGTGCCTAACTGGCATGTGAGGAGACAAAAAACTGACATTTGTAAGCATTTTAACCCCAAAATGGCATTGTTTAGTCTTCCGCACGTCACTCACCATGCACTATATCCGAACCTTTAAATCAAAACCCTGACTCATATTATTATTATTTTATTTTTAATATATTATATTCTTTTTATTAAAAATATAAGATATTTTTAACTAAATTTTACTCCCAATAATACAATTATTTATCTTTAAACTAAAATTATATTTTTTATATTTACTTCTATTTAATAGGGTATTTTATTTTAAAATAAATATAAAGTGATTTATTCATTAGAAACACTTCTGAAAAAATAAGGTAATGATTGCATTTTAAAACAATAAAAGTACCTTATATTTTTTAACATTTATTGTCTCAAAAAATGTCTTAAATTTTTTTAAGAAAGGTAGTACAATTTATATAAATTTATTTAATTTATAAATCATGAATAATATAATTTATTTTAAAATTAAGATAAAAACTTAAAATTTAATTGCTGTTAAGATTTTCTAAAATATCATTAAATATTAATTATTTTAATGAAATTTTATAAAATCACGGAAGTCTTAATTACCATAATAATATTTAAGATTTATAATTTTTAATAATAAATATGAATAGTACTAATTTAAACATTATCAGTATTAGTATGAAGCTGGAAAAAAATTTATTATTATTTTTATATACAATTGCCCATTGTTCATGGGTCAAGTTGGATAAAACTATATTAGCAGCAAAACTCTTCCAATAAGTATTTAATAAAGTTATATACCCAAAACTCAAACTCACCACTGATTAAATTAGTACAACCCTTTATTAATTGAGCTACGTGTTTGCTAGTTTAAAAAAAACTTTATTAGTGAAATATTAACTTTGATTTTCTTACAAAAATTGGTTATTATTTAATGGATGTTATTAATTTTCTATTGAATCTTTGAATACATATTCCTCCTTATCTTAATATTGGTTTACGCTATGTAAGATTTGATTTGAAAAGAGTTAGAATTGCATTTAACTAACCAGTGCTTTGATACTTTCGGTATAGCATGGATTTGCTTTGCATAGTGGGTTAATAGATGCAAGATGAATGTAACATAATAAATAAATGAAAGAAAATGACATAACTAACTAAATTGGTTGTTGATCAATTTGAATCCTCCATATTTGTAAGTGAATACATATAATATAATTAAATAAAAGCAAAGTAGGGGGTGGAGTCGGGAGAGAGGAGACTAAAGGCGCACTACCCATTTATAATTTAGGGAGAACAACACTGATGGGAGGAGAAAAAAAGAAGTAGCGAAAGCTCTACATAATTGAAGATTCATCTATATATAAGTGAATCGATGAATCTTTAATTATACATAGATAAACCTTCAAATGCATTGGGTTATCACAACTTTTTTTCCCCCTCTTTTGGAGTCTTCATTGCCATTCTCCCTTTAATCTATTTTTTCATATAAAATGTGCTTTTTCAAAAGTTACTTTACATCTCATGATGTTTGACTCAAACATTAAGTAAGAAGCATATTTGAGATTCTAAAAGTACCATCCAAGCAGGCATTAAGTCTAAAACTTTACCATGAAATTCATATAGATGCCACACATAATCACATTATTTTTCTGTTGCCTTTTTCTTTTAATAGTAAATAAGAAGAATCTAATTTAAGCTGTTCTCATATCTAACAACAACAAATGCCTACTCACACTTAATGGATCCATACATGTGACGAACAAGGAGCAAAGCTGCATGAAATCCAATAGTTCCGAGCGTCAAAAAGAAACCATAGCATATACAACCCATGTATCCAAAGTAAAACGAGATTTGCAAGACTTCCATACATGTTAGAGCGTGCATAGTAGTAGTACAAACAACAGGCACAAATTTATATGCCTGCTGATGATCAGGGACGCATCCACATAGGGAAAAGAGGGGGCAATTGTCCCCATGAAATTTGCAAAAATTACACTTCCTTTTTTGTTTAAATTATACTTGCCCCCTCTTTAAAATTGCAATTGCCTCCATAAAAAATCAGTTGCTCCACATTTTTTTTAAACTATCAAGCATACATATTTAAAAATATTGTTTCCCCTTTTATTTATAATAAAAATAAATATATGATGTAAATGACATTAAGATATATTTTTAAACTTTTCATATAATTTATTTATATATTACTCTAATTATTACTTAAAATTATATTTTTTTAAAAAAACATTAATATTAATATTTGGTATAAATATTGCCCCCATTACTAAATTTTTCTAAATCCGTCATTGCTGTTGATCCACCATATAGAAATGATCTGCACAAAAAAAAAAAAAAACACACACACACACACACAGAGGTTAAACCTTGTGAATCTATGATAAATCTCTGTTTAAAAAGAAGTTCAGTGGAATTCCTTGTAACGTAACTCAATTTAAGTGAGAATTTTAACAATCAAGGGTTAATATGTGGGTAAATTACTAAACCATAATGAACTTGACATGAACAAAATATACCGAAAACTCTAAGCTACAATGGCGTAAAGGTCAAAAGAAAATGACAACGAATATTGAAACACATCAAGAAATTAAATGACAAATGCATTAATAAATAAAAAAAGCACGCATTCTTGAGACTTATTTCTCCAAGGTGCAATAGTAGTCCAGGGAAATACTTATTGAAATAATCTACTTGGCTAGCCTACGCAGATGACATTTCTCTCTAACTAGCGTAACAAATATACATAAAATGCACGTGAAAATGGAAGTTAAACAATTATCCGTTAATCATTCATCCATCAATTCAATGCTAAAGTTAGCATGAAAAGTTAATGATGCAGTAACTTCAATCTGGCAAAAGAAAAGAATGATACACAAACTTCATACCCCCACCACCACTCATAGTCCTTAGCGGCAAGCTGGAAGTAGGTCAATGCCACAGTA